CCCAGCTGCATGAGTGACAGCTGGCTCTGCCTATCTTGAGGCAGAGCCAGCTGTACCCGCCCCTTCCCCCGTCCGTTCCACCAGTCAGTGCTGGAGGATCGGACAGGAGAGGGGGGAATCCAGTCACTCCCCTGTCACGGCTCTCTGCCGTGACAGGATCGAAAAGTGAGCGAGCGCCGGTATGTGTTCGCTCACTTCCCGATCTACTGAGCCGACCTGTGACAGTTTCATTGAGGAATGAGGAAAGGTGCAGCGTTGGCATCCCTTTTGGGCTAGTTCACACCAAAACTGTGTGTTGCTGCAATGCGTTTTACTGTTATGGATGCATTTTTGGGGTTTTTTTTATTTGTTTTGCTTAAAATGGGATTACAGATGCATTTGCATGTGTTTTAGGGCAAGCAGTATTTTTTCTGACTGCATCAGAACAGACTGCACTGGTGTGAACAGAGCACCAGAAATCCTATAGGAAAGCATTGTGATGCATTTTGGATGCAGCTGCCAACCTGAACGGACTGCATCACAACTGCATCTGGTGTGAACTGGTAGTAATTAACCCCTTAGGGAGTATCCCATCAAAACTGAAATTCTTATGCCAAAAATTATAATTGTATCTTAGTGCAGACATCTGGGAAAATCTGGGGAAAACATTTCTGGGGGCATTTTGTGCACCGTGTACAGAACGTCTGCAGGTTGCCATATTGCATTTTGACAGATTTAGATCATTATAGCAGCTACAGTTTTAAATGTAAAATTGATCTTTATTAACATTAATTTACAAAATGTTTTTGTGCGACAATTATATATGTTATATTCATTTTTTTAAGATTTTTTCATTTTTATATTTTTAAAGTGGAGTTACTCTTTAATGAAAAATGCTAAATAGCCACATAAAAGATTGTAAACATAATAATCTTGCCCATAATACAAAGTTCAAGTCATAAACATCACTTTAAAATTTTTATTAATAACAAAAACAGTAAAAAAAACCAGCAATTAAAACAGTAAACCACTAAAACAAAAAAAAGTCTAAAACATTTTCACAGACTTAATAACAGTAATTAACGAGCTATAGCTACAATACATGTCCCTTGGATGTGCAAAATGTGGAACAGGACCTCTTAAAATCCCCTTGTTATAAAACAAAAAAATACCCGCCAGTCCCGCAAAAGTCACAATGTAACAAACTTTTGGGTGTAAAAGTTTATTTTGATAAATACATCTTGAACTGCAAAACACAAAGGCTTTGGCTACACAGTCGGTTTATCTATTTGCCAATGATAGATATTAACCAATTGTTGGACGCTAGCTCAATAAAATAGACTTGTAAAGGTTACTGAACCGGATCAGTGAAAAATCAGATCAACTGATGTGCTGTCTGGCAGAGCTGTGAAAACCTCAGGACTGCATGGACAAAAATACAAATCCTCTACAGGGCTATTCACTAAAGGGTGAAGGGTTTGGGGAAGGCAGGAGAAGTGAACACTCTAGGACAACATAGCTGAACTGGAAAGTGGGCTGAATTGGAGAATTTTTCCAAATCAGTTATTTTGGCCTAGATTGTTCACTCCTCCTGCCTTCTCCAAACTCTTCACCCTTTTGTGAATAACCCTGTTAGTAAGTAAAACAGATCTCGTATGTGTATTTGATCTGTGTATTTAGTTCAGTGCTAGCCATCCATGTAGCCCTAAGCTTAGTCTTGCATGTTGTTATTGGATTCCTGAGATGTAAGCATATACAATAAGAAGATACAAAGTGCAGTAACCGATCATAATCAGATTTTAGTGAAATAATCATTATACGGAATCTAAAAATCCCTATTATAAGAATGAGTAACAGAAAAGAATTCTACTTCTGCTCTAGAACTCTACTCTAGAAATTATATTGGACTCCAACAGAAAAGTTCTTCTATGGTACTAATAAAAAAAAAAGAATAAAGATGAAATGGAATTGCCTTATTGGATAAATACCTCTCTGATTACTGTCCAAAAAATAGATCTTTAAAAAAAAAAATGATACGTAGACTTAGTGTTTATAATAGTTTGGCAATTTCTATTCAATCTTCTTCCCTGGCTATGAAAGCGGACCTTTACACTGCAGTATGGAACATCTACAAAAAACATTCCCATAAGCATTAAGAAAAATTAAACATGTTTAAAACGCTTTTTCCTCTTTTATAAATACCTTTTTTAATGTTTACATTTCGTCGCCACAATGCAACGGGCGGCCATGTTTAGAGAGGTAAAAACCGTTCCTTCCGTGCCTTCTTCTTGCGTCAGCAAGGTAAATCATTCATTATTTACCACGGCCACACCTCCTTCTCCTTTTCTCGCGCATATGATAAAACAAAATTACCGATCCACAGTGCATGCTGTATTGAATAATCTCGCAAGATCTCACAGCTATTTTCTTTTTCTTTTTTTTTTCATGAAGGAAATCTAATTTCAATGACAGATAAATGCCAGTGTGCATTACATTGGCAAACTGAAGTAATTTGCACTTTCAAAGCAGGAAGTGAATGCTCTGCAAGTGTAAGTATTTCAAAATCACAGCATTTTACACCTGACATATCTATGTTATTATTAATCATCATTCAACTTGAATATCGGCAGTTTGTGTGTTCGGTGAACGCCTATCAGGGCGTTTGGCGGGCTGTTCAGCCACTGAGCGCTCCACAAGGCTCTGCGCACTGCACAGTGCCTTGTGAAGCCCTGATTGGGTAAAGCAATGCACCTGACCACAGGTCAGGTGCAAGACTTTACCCAATCACAGCATAGTGCACTCTGAGAGCCATGATCAAGCAAAGTAATGATAACTTGCCCAATCATGGCTCACACAAGTCCCATCAGGTTTTGGACAAATGTAAACAGTTGGCGGGGCGAGCGGTGATGTCACTTTGATGGTCAATAAAGAAGATTTACTACAAAAGTTTCTGGAGTGTGAGTGACTTTCTACCAGTTACAGTTTCTGACATGCAGAGGCATCTTAGGTTGCTCTGGAACCCACTCCCCCCTCCCCCCTGCACTTTGGGGCTTTCCTGTCAGGAGTGCGATGGGATCTACCATATTCAAAGAGAAAAGAGCAGAGCGCAAGCTGCCAGGGGAGCAAAGGATAAGGTAAGAAAAACGTATTTTTGACGTTCCCCTAGGACCAGCAGTCCTGAATTGTAATCAACGATGCCAAGGCCTTGCCCACTACTTGGAGTGTCAGAGAAAAGAGCAGAGTGCCGGCTACCAGGGGAGTGCAGTATTAGGTATGAAAAAACCTTTTTATCCCGCCCAGACAACAAAAGAAAGAGCATTTAACCCTTGCAGAGTCCCCCTGCAAGGGTAGTTTGGAGACTTTCCGAGAGTTCAGCTTTATTGGAAATCCTTTAATTACCAATCTCCTATCTGCACCTATGATGAAAGTCATTGGTGTAAAACCATTTTTATTTTTGACTGATTTTTTCTCAGCTGACAGATTTTTCTAGCAGATGTTAGGCAAATTAGTCAGGAAGCCACAGACATGAGTGTCACTTTATCTCCCGCTGCATCTTCTTGTTTATTTGTTTTTCTTCGGTATTGTTCTGCATAAATTCTAATCCATTGTTGAACTATCTCTAACTTCCACTTCCTCTTTGTTTTGCAATCCTTTTCACACAGTCTACCATTACAATCACGTATATGAGCTGTGACACAGAGCAGAGAGTCAACATTACTCCTCCAGTTGGTTTCCTCTTCTGCTGACGTCTATCACACTTTGACATTTGTCTAGGAAGAATGTCACAGAAGTAATTTCCAGACTCTTTCTTCTTATTGTCGATATTTGGGCGGCACAGAAGGCAGAGGATGCAGGCCAACACCACCGTGCAATTGCTGTGGCTAAAATGCAAATATATTCTGGTAAAGATCTTGCTTGAAATGTACCTATTATACCCATAATAAAAGGCATAGAAAAGGCCACTAAACCTAAAATGTTGCATTACATGAAAAGGATCAGATGTAATCTCAGATATAAAAGGTTCGTTTTGAGTGAGCTAACTTCCAAAATTAACCCACTTGCCTCAGCAGCTATGTAACGGTTTACATCTTGCTGCTGTGTTTTTCCAGGTATATTCCAATCACACAACTATTTTGCATAGAACACTGGAGACCATCTACATTCCTTTTAGCAACAAATAGTTAAAAAAAAAAGTTGTTTCTCTAAAATGTTTGTAACCTATCTCTAATAATTGAACACACATTAACATTTAGAAGATTAAGGGACGGTTCACACCATCTCCAATGCGTTCCAGCTCAATTAGTGGCCTGAACGCAATGGATTGCATAATTGAAGCCTCCTGCGTTCCGGGGCATGGCGGCGCCGCAGTGTGATAGCTATAAGCTATAGAAGACCCATTCATTCAGTGGCTCCTCAGGGGGTGAGCGCTATACCTGTTTTCACTGACACGGGACATTAAAAACTTACAAAGAGGTTTTGATGCTTCAACACTATATCCAGAACTTAAAAATGTCTTTAACTGGGCTTCAGTGTCTTTGCAAACAGAAAAAAAACATTTACATAAATAATACCTTTTGTAGATAATAAGTCCATTTACTATAATCTTCTGGTGTCATACAGAAAATTAAGATTGGCTCCATAAGATCACCTAAAAATGACAAAAATATGGCATAATAACATTAGCGCCTATTAAATTGTGTGGAATTAAAGCTGGAGTTTAAGTTTAGGTTCACTTTAAAGTTTAAAAAAAAAAAAACATAAAGTGGCAACAAGTTTAGAAAAGGATGCAAAAAGTACTGCCCTTCCATACGACTCTGACTTGTTTACACTCACTGCTCAGTTGTCCAGCTCCATTTTTTTCCCGAGCTGTATGATGCTCAGTGTCGGTCAACCCACTTCCTGTTATTTCAGGCTGTCATAGACACCCCCTGGGAGCACATCATACCACCAGCCTGGGTCCTCAGTGTACTGCTGAACAGAATGGTTCCCACACATCACTATGTGACCACCCTCTGCCAGACAAGAAGAGGAAGGACCTGGCTTGTCACATGACTGGTTCAAAGGAATTAAAGGCAAAAGTGTCCCCCCCACACTGCTAACGTAAGGACTTACCTTAAATCATGCCTCTTAATCTGATCATCTTCTTCTTTCCAGGAGTTTTCAGCTGTCCCTTCAACGCTGGTGTGGGTCTCCAATCCAGCGCTGACCCCTCTGTCCTCCTCTACTCTGATGTCCCACGGAGTCTGTGGGTGCACACTCCTCCATAGACTCACCTTGTGTCTCTCCTCATCTCCCGGCCGAATATCTAAACTGCTCATGGGCCCGCCCCAAGATCCTTTGCGGCCACCCGAGAAATTGTCAGATGTTCGGACGGGAGCGCGCGGCGGAGACATAGTTAAGTATTAACCCTTTAAAAAGGCTTGTTTTTTTTCATCGTTTTGCTTATATCTACTGCTTGCTAGCAGTAGATATAGGCAAAAACAAATGAGGGTTTAATAACTCTTTAGGGTATATATACTATATATTTCTAATTGTATGCGGTTGTGCATTTAGGGAGAGTTTGGCAAGTACATACTAATAATAAATAAATACTAGGTGTACCCATTTTAGTGGCATATGAGGATAATATAATCAATAATATGCATAGTCATTTGTAAACTAAATAAAAGAACATAGCTTTCATTTATTGTAATTAGTGTACATATACAATAAACTTGGGTATATATTGTATGTTTATATTATCTCCCACCCCATATTGTTTGGGAAACAGCATAGCATGTCAAACACCAGCTTTCCCTTATTTCTGAGAATAATCATTTACAACTCTAATGTGTATGATCTCAGCTGATGTTGGAATTTTTGCATGTGACTCTGCCCACACTAACACAGCATGCATCATTTTCTTATGCGGAACATAAGAAGTTAGGATTAACTTTAGAATCTCTGCTTTAGTTATCACTTTGTTTGTGAAGCTAGGGGAGCCCTCTAGTGACTGACTCTAAAGTATAAAAAGACCAATGAAATGGCATCAACACATGAAAAAGTGGACATAATAGTATATAATCCATTATACACTACATTCAAAAATGACCTCCACTCAAGAAGATTAATTTTGTTTCTTGTGGAAAGCCCTAAAACTACATTCACATCTGTATCCCTCTTTAGGCTGCATTCACGTCTGACGTCTAAGCATAAGCGCTTACAGGCGATTTTGGAGTTCTTGTTTCTGCATTTGTGCACTTTTTTCAGGCATATTTAGGCTTGAGCGTTTTTGCTTTAGCTAATAGAACGCTAGGTACTAAGAAAAAGAGATGGTTGTTTAGCTTTGAAAGACGCTCATTCTCAGGTGTATTCAGGCATTTTTAGGGTGCTCCCATTGAAGTCTATGGGACAACAAATGCTCTATTCTTCTTCAAAAGGTAGTTCATATACCTTTCTGAGCTCCATGCATCGAGCTACAGGCACTTGAGCACAATTTAAAAGCATGGGATTTGGGTTAACTAACTTGCATACCCCAATATCACCGATCCTTCTCAGCAGTACTAGTGAGAGTGGTGGGTACACACCGGCCAAGCCTCTCTTGCTCCAGCATCAGCAGTTACTCACAGAAAAAAAGCTTGGCCGTACACCACAAAAAATGATTGTAGCACACAGGTACACATCGTCCCACCGTAGATTCTCTTCACTCTGACATGTTTCAACCAATAATGGGCTTAGTCATATTAGTCCTAGACTATGACGAAGTCCATTATTGGGTTAAACATGTTAGAGTGAAGAGGATCCATTAATTTTACTTTGTTTTTTTCAGGACAAATTTGGTGGTCTATGTTAATGGACATCTCAGATTTGTATTATCAAAGGAAAACTGGCACAAAATAGTATAAAAACATTTTTTTAAATGTAGCTGTATATTTCAGGTCATTACCATGGCCCACCACAAAAAAAAACAACTAAAAACCCCCAAATAGTATGACACAAAAAAGTGGAGAAAAAAAGCCAAAACTGGCACATTTGGACTGAGCAAAATTATTGGCACCTTCTCTAAATTGCAGAAAATAATTGCATTCCAAGTTTTTGTGGAAAAGCATGGAGAATCTCAAGGTTACAATTCCATCACCAGAGATCTTAATGTTCCTGTGTCCACTGTGTGCAACATTGTCAAGAAGTTTACAGCCCATGGCACTGTAGCTAATCTCCCTGGACGTGGACAAAAGAGACCAATTGATCGAAGATTGCAAGAAAGGATTGTTCGAATAGTGGATAAAGACCCTCGATCAACTTCCAGACAAATTCAAGCTGACCTTCAGGCATAGGGTTCAACTGTGTCAGCTCACACTATACATCGCCATTTGAATGAAAAGGGACGTTATGGTAGGAGACCAAGGAGGACCCCACTGCTGACACAGAAACATAAACAAGCCAGATTGGAGTTTGCCAAGACTCACCTGAGGAAGCCAAAATCATTTTAGGAGAATATGCTGTAGACAGAGGAAACAAAATGACTGCTTTTTGGTGCAGCCCATCATTCTACTGTTTTAAGAAAAAGAAATGAGGCCTTTAAAGAAAAAAAATACAGTCCCTACAGTCAAACATGGTGGAGGTGCACTGATGTTTGTTGTTTACCTCAGCCGGGTTAGCCCCCCCATATCAAAATTTTTGAACAAAACATATGCAGTTGGTTAGATCTTTGTTAGATCAGGTTAGATCTCTGTTGTTTGCGTTAGATCTCACACAGAAATAGAGATATTAAACACACCTGTATGGAACTCAACTGCGGATAGCGTCCAACTTAAAGTTCATCTAATCACAAAAGAAATTATTTCAATTTAAATCACTGTATTCAAATTTTACTGACAGTAGTATTCACAACATAGCCTCTAACTCTGTGTCATCAACCCAGAATCTGCAGCGAGCATGAAGTCACTCTCTCATCACTGGCCACAGTGCATGATACTTGCGTTTTTGTAGTGTGGGGATACACTGAGATAGAGAGGGAGACTCCAGGGAATACCACCGTTCTTTTAAGTGGAATGGTAGCCTCGGTTCATGGTGTGAATGTCCACAGAAGCAGGAAGGTTGAGCGTGAGCTGGGCTGCGTATGAACGGTCCACTGCAATATTGCCCATTAGGGCTGAAGCCAGAGTTT